TTAAGTGAGTTTTGCCCCATTTTGCTGCCATTTTTGCCATGGTTGTTAAGCAAATCACTGAAGTTGTTAAGTGAATCATGTGGTTCTTAAGCGAATCTGGCTTCCCTCATTGACTTTGCTTGTCCAAATCCAGCTGGGAAGGTTACAAATGGTGATCACATGACTCCAGGACAGTGCAACTCTCATAAATGCATTCGAGTTGCCAAGCGTCCAAATTTTGATCATGTGACTATGGGGGGGGATGCTGCAATGGTCATAAGCATGAAAACCGGTCATAAGTTACTTTTTTTTAGTGTTGTTGTAACCTCGAACAGTGACTAATGGTTGTAGGTCAAGGACTATCTGTATACTGAAAACTGAGACAAACTGAGAGTCATATTTGCTCTAATGTAATTTAGTATAATGGTCAATCCCACTTTATTTTATCAGTGCTTTTTTATGTTTATCAGATATACTTTCCAGGAAGAAGTGCCAAAGGACTCCTGAAAAGATTCAAAAACATACTTCCATGGAACACGGGCTTCCGGGTTGATCTACCACATCCTTATTCTTTCTGCTTCTTTGAGCAACATAGTGCACCAATGGCTTGTTTACCCAATAGTGTGTCAATAGTTATTCTTAGATTATGTATTTGCACATCAATCAACATTGCATACAGAAACATTTACAGATACCAATATCAGACATAGCAAGGAGAAAGAAAGAAATTTATCAAGTAACTACCTAGATTATTTTATTCTGCATATCTAGCAGTAGTTTGCTATGTATTGCTTTAATTCGCACAGTAAACCTGACCTGAGATAAATATTGCAAAGGGCAGCATATAAATGCCTCCAACAGTGGGACAGCCATTAGTAGGTTTCCTGGCTTTGCTTTGTTCACCTCCGCAGCAGCCTCATAATGAAGAAATTAAACAGGGCAGAATTTTCCTGGCATCAAAATCGATGGCAGGAAAAAGGCTTCCCTGGTTCATCTGTGTGATCTCAGCTGCTAAAGTCAGCAAGAGGGTGTGGGCCAATTTAGAAAAGAAAAGAAAATAAAGGAAGCAAAAATAAAAAGCATATTTGCACATGGTCTAATCCTTTAAAGAACAAACAGAACAGAAAACAGGACCGAATGCAATATGGCACAGATTGCGAGGAGTTTGGTTGAAGCCAAACAGATCTGGCTTTGATTAATATCTTGATGGGAAAGAGAGGGAGGCTTCAGGAATGTACTAATATATCAAAAAGAGGATCAACACTTTAAAAAAAAATAATCAAGAGCTCTATTTTAGCAGCTGCAGCCTGGCATGAAGAAAGTGAATATTTGACAAATTCTCATCTAGACCAGGGGCGCAATGGCTCAGCAGAGATGGTCCTTGCTCCAGCGCTTCAAGCCCTAGCACTGCCTGGCGGGATGAGCTCCCATCACTTACCTCAGCTTCTGCCCACCTATCAGCTCAAAAACATGTTATATGCAAGTAGATAAACAGGTACCAATTTGTAGTGCATTGTGTGGATGGTTAGAATCCTGATGGTGCGGGACCTTTCCAGGTGCAACACCCATTTACAAGGTGGCTTCGATGGAGGGAGAGGGCCCCAGATGACACTGCTGGAGACCCACAGAGGTAGCTCGTCCCCTGTGGCACACCTTGGAAAGTGCACGAGTGTGAACCAAACAGGACTAGCCATCTTAAGCAGCCAAACTACTATTCTGTGTTAGCATTGTAGCGCCCTGGCTAATGTAACATCACCGTATGCTAAATAAATAATTAAATAAAATCCAGACCAGGAAGAGGGAAGAAAAAAGTTGCAACTCTAGATGGTGAGAGTGAAGACATCAGTAACAGTAACAGAGTTGGAAGGGACCTTGAAGGTCATCTAGGCCAACCCCTGCTCACACATGAGGCCAGATATAGCCCTCCAAAGCATGGGGAGTTCTGCTGGAGGAAACGTTGACCAAGTTGTAAGTGAGCTACCATGCAGCTCAGATCTGGAGCCTCACCCTGGCCATATTGACAGTCATTTGGCCCCCTTTCCACATGCATGGAGTTGTCCTCTTCCTCAAAGACCATTCCAGCTCTTTCACTAATCTCAGTTCTTGAGCAATATGACTGACAATGACACTGCACAGGAAGCCATGGTGAAAGCAGATGGGGGCCCAAATCCATTCCACACCAGGCAGTTTAAAAACCACCCATTATGTTGCTGAATGCTTAGAACAAACAAAAGAGAAAAAAAACAATGACTTAAGCATGCAAACCAGAGCTTCCAACTGCCTGTTTTGCAGTTGGACTCTCAATGGCTGTAATAGATCATTCAGGGTTTCCAAAGGAGAAACAGGGATCATCCTTCATCCGTTTATTGTGCAGAACCCTTGCCTAATGTGGGGCCACTAAAGGGTGGCCAGATGCAAAGGAAACTGGGAGGAGGGTGGAGGCGGCAAATATTTCATCACTGGATAGTAGACAGAATTTCAGCAGGTTCTGCTTCCCCCCCCCCTTTATGCACCCTTCTTTGCTTCAGTGCACATTGTGTACAGATCTGATCGTCTCGTTTCAAAAAGGATGTTGCAGCACAGCTGTAGAAGTTCCAAAATAACCCACAAAAGCAACCTCTGCCCCTCAGTGGGCTTCCCCATTTGGGATGGTTTGGTTGAGAAGATAAAAGAATCAAATGAACTAGAAGAAGAGGCACACGTCTATGTTATGGTGTCTCTCTGGAGAAATGGTCTCCAAATCTGGACTGGGCAGCCTTATTACTGAAACATTTTGAGCCTGCACTCTCAATACAAGTATAATTCTTTATTTATACATTATATACATGCATTGCATACATACAATAGATGAAGTACATTGTAAAACATTCTGTCTCATATTTTGTATCTTCTGTATATTAATCATTAGTATATCTTTCTTTAGATTAAAATAAATGGAAATTCTTTCATCTTTTGGTAGATGTTGCTACTCTAAGTAGACTTTTTGCACGTCTTCTAATTTCTTCGTCTAACAACAAGGGCACAAAAACGGGGCCTCCAGCTATCCACTCGTTCTTTTACTTAAATATTTATTGGCTTAGTCAATTTTGGTATTTTCTGACATGAGCAGCACAACTAAAAGACTATTTTTAGACAGATATTAGACAACCCGTTGACCCACTGGGTTATCCTTTGAGAGAAAGGTAGAGCATCTGAGGTGAGCAGAATGAACATTGAATTGTAGGCTGACCATACATTTTTTTATCCTCAATGTTGACAATCCCACGATCATCTAAGAAGAGTAGCATATAGCAGTATTCCAGTATCAGAGAGGCTGCCACAAAGAAGAGAGGGGGGGGGGGGGGGTTGTCAACCTATTTTCCAAAGCACCAGAGGGCAGGACAAGAAACAATGGATGGAAACTAATCAAGGAGACAAGCAACCTGGAATTAAGAAGAAACTTCCTAACAGTGAGGACAATAACAGCTTGTCTTCAGAAGTTGTGGGTGTTTCATCACTGGGGTTTTTAAAGAAAGGACTGGACAGTCACTTGTCTGAAATGGTATAGGGTCTCCTGCTTGCGCAGAGGGCTGGACTAGAAGACTTCCAAGATCCCTTTCAACTCTATAATGATTGATTGAGTATATATCATAAATGGAAAAATAATTGGCAAATGAATTCCAATAATAAGTCAATATTTCTTTACCTAAAGAGATAAACAGAATGACCGTGTGTGTGTGTGTGGGGGGGGAAGCAGTGGGAGCAGGAGCAATTTCCAACTCCTTGCTGATTTCCCCACTGACGTTGCTTATGGGAAGCTGACGGGGTGTTGGAAATCACAATCACATGATTGCTGGGATGCTGCAGTGGCAACAATTTTGCAAATAAAACTGGTCTGACCATTGTGGAAATTTCAATTTCATAGGAGTAATGAGTCCCAGATATGTTTATGCATTCTTTAAAAGAGCAGATTTTAGATACTTTGATGGAAAAATCATTTCAGTATAATGTGCTGTTTGGACCAATTTGAGGGTACAAACAGACAGATAAATACAATGACAGTTTTAGTAGTATATAGATATTACAAAGCACCTTTTATATGTTGTAATGCTTTAGCATATGACCTACATTCAAGGAATTATAATCTATAATCCATCATAAAAGAGAGAACTATGATGATAGGGGGAAACAGTGAGAGAAAGACTATCTTATTTATTAGGGATGGCAAATAAAAGAATGGTCTGAAAGATTTGTGAGTTTGGATGAGAGCTCTAAAGGGAGAGAAAATCTTTCTCCAGTTGAGCTTCATTTTTGATGGCTACATAGACGATGTCATCTTCTTGGCTGCAATATGGAAATGGTTTGTCTTCTTTTAGGATTTCTTTAGTTCCAGCCTTAAGATTTTTTGGGTGGTTTCCCATCCAAGTAATAACAAGATCTATCCTTCATAGCTTTACTGATTACTGAAGGACAGCTAGATGAGAAAAAGCAAAAGGGGCGGAATAGTTTCATCTGAGGAATTGGAAGACCTTGGAGGACTGAGGGTGGGAGATTTGGCAAAGCATAACTGAGAGATCTAGATACAACATAAGACTGAAGAGATATGGAAGAGGCTAAGCCTTAACTATGGCTTTGGACAGAGAGAATATATTTCCTCTCCATTCTAAGCTATAAAATACATTTTCAAAACGGAAGATCCAAAATCTTTCTAGATAAGCCCGGAAAAACTTTTGCATGAAAACCAGTGGTGGGATTCAGCCGGTTCACACCACTTCAGCAGAACCGGTAGCTAATTTTTTGTTGCCTAGAACGGACTTCTGGAAGCGGCATCCACACAGAGAACTGGTTATTCACATATTTGAATCCCACCACTTATGAAAACCTGACAGCAGCTTTTATGATTATCAAGGGTCAAATACAAAACTTACCCTAGTATTGTGAAAACTTGATCTGGGAGCAGACAGGATCTTGGAATTTGAGGAGAAGCTCAAGAAATGAAATGTTTTTGACAATGAAACACAGAACAGAAATAATACGTATAATATAAAAATATGTACCATGTACACATGCAACTTGTGTACAGAGAATTCATGCCTATTAGACCAGATTGCCCTACAAGACAATCCTTTATGAAGGGCAAGATTTGCTGTATTAATGGGAACCCAGCATGGCCAGTTTATTTCCTCTTATATGCAAACCCAAAGTGGAGTCTTCCTAGTCTTCAACCCCTCAGAGTGAGGCTCAGTCAGTCAGTTCTATTTGACTTACAAGTCCCCCATTGGCTGCCACAGAAGATGGAATAAAATACAATGATAATAAGAGCAGAAGTTAAAACTCCAGGAATTTAGTCCTCAGTGAAAGTGTAGGCGATTTCCTGGTGGTCCGGAGGACAAATGAAGATCTTAGCCATGAAGAGAAGGGGTGTACAGCTTCCGAGAGATTAGCGGCACCAGTGGATTTTCTTGGCAAAGGTGTACATCACCCCTTTGTAGGCGTCACGGAATTGCCGGTTCATGGCAGCATAAAGTAGTGGGTTAATACAGCTGTTAAGCCACGTCAGATTGGCAGCAATCACGTGCAGGATAGTTGGAGCCCGGTTTTTGGCATCAAAGATGTTGATGAGCAAAAAAGGGATATAGCAAAGAACAAAGAAAATAAAGACCACAAAGCACATGCGGGTCACTCGGTGGAATTCTGAGTTGCTTTCCTTGGGTTTGCATGGGGTGGCTTTCTTTGATGGGACCGCAGGCTGGGCCACAGGTGGAGCCGTGCTGCTCTCCAAACTTGGGGGAATGCTGGTCTTGGATGTGGGCTCCGAGGGCAAACCCTCACAGGAATGCTGTGAAGTACCTGCACTGTCCACCCCACTGTCCAGCTCATGGTACTGTCCTGGTACAGCTGAGCTGGTTCCAGCTACATGAACCCCCTTCAGGCTGGCCTTCTTCAGCTTGTATTTATCCAAGGCCTGGGCAGCACTCTTGACTTTGCGATGGATGAGGAAGTAAAAGATGCCGACACAGCTCAGGCCCACCACAAAGTAGAAACCCATGAGGATGGTGGTGTAGGGCCTCCCACGGATACGATGGAAGCTGCAAGTACAGACTTTGGGGACCAAGACATAAACCTGCCACAGGGGGGCAAAACTGACAATACCAACAACCCAGGTCCCCAAAGCAATTAGTATCACTCCCAGACGGGTGAAGATGCGATCAAAGAGAGCCATGTTGGCAATGAGGAGGTAGCGGCTCACTGCTATGAGACAGAGAGTCAAAATGGATACCGAGTTGGAGACAAACAGCAGCATCCCAAAGACACGGCAGAAATCAGCTCCCGTCCTCCAGTAGAGATGCAGATAGGAATCCACGGAAAAGGGTTGCAAAAAGGTGCAATACAGGATGTCAGCCAAAGTCAAATTGACAATGAGTAGGTTAAAGCGTGTCTGCAATTTGGTGTCAACAGCATAGGCCAACAGAGTTAACACATTGCCCACTGTGCCCACTATTGTGACCACAATGCCCCAAGACACTGACATGTAGCGGTAACCAACAAGGGATGGGTCATAGCAGGAGAACTTGTCAGTAAGATTTTCCATCTTGGCAGGAAGTGGTCCCAATAGGCCTCCCTCTGGGGGAAAGCTTGGAAGCAACCACAGCAGTGTTGATTCTAGAAGAAAGGAGAGACAGACAGAATTAATCCAAAGTAAGTTCTGATTAACAAAGATGTCAGTGCAGACATAAGGAGTGTCAATTCAATATATAATATACACAATGTATAAAATGAAATATGTAATCAATTTGTAGGATTATTTGGCAGAGGCAATCATTAAAGCCAATAGCATAAATACGTTTTCAAAGGGTAAATGCATGGAAGATAGAAGTCTAAAGATGGGTCGTAGCCTCAGTAACCGAGAACCAACCATCCATTCATAAACAATATATCTCTGATGATCATATGTGGTTTACTCTGTTTTTAAAAGTCCATTTTGAAAATGTTACAAATAAAATCTTCAGTTGGTGTACAGTTGGAATAGATTATAGATATAGAAATATATGATAGAGATAGACAGAGAGACCCAGATCCAGATCCGAGCCACTATCAACCAAATGGCTTGCTTATCTATGGAAGCTTTGACAAAGGTCACCCAGCTTATTTTTTAGAAGAAAATCCTCCATTAGACAGGATGGCCAAGTCCACTCAGTTTAAACATATACTGTATTGTGGAGTTACTGTTATTTCATAAAATATTGGGAAACATTTCATGATATAACAGTATCACTTCTAAACACTATAACAATAGCAATTCCAAACAATTCTTTGTCTTCTGGGCTTTCTGCCTGTAGATTATTGATACCAAATCATTTCAGAGCCAGGGTTTGCTCTGGGTCTCTGCCGTGCCTAGAGCAGGGGTAGGCAACCTTGGCCTAGAGAGAAAGAGTTCCTGTCTCCTTTGGAAATTCCAATATGATGATTGAAAGAAAATTGGAAAATGTTGGAGACCAACAAACAACAAATATTCTGTAAGTGAAAAGAGGGTTTTTTTTTTCTGCTAGCCTTCCACAATTGCTATGATTACATCCACTACAGCATTTATTTTATTGCAATAGTAGTGAATATCTGTAGCTTGGGTGTAGGATAAGGGCGAAAGTTCATTCTCTGAGCTTGTGGGTTGGTTTCTGAACGTTTTGTTACCAGCGGAGTTTATGGGATGTCCATGTTCTTCTGTTTATAAGGGCTTCAGGTGTGGGTGTGTCATGTGAAGGTCTGGGATGGGTCTTGTTTTTATTTTATTTTGTGCACATGCACACATGTACTTACAACCTAATTCTTTTTCAGGGAACACAGATAAAAGTTTTAACCCATTTCTTCTTTCTTATTGGGCCTAATTGGGATATTGGCAGGGCATTTTTTTCAAATTGTTTTTTTTTAAATAATTTAATTAATTGTTGACTTCTCCCAAAGACAAGATGTAAAGAGTAACTAAGTGCACCATCCAAACTCTCATATGAGAAATGGTTCAAGAGCTCTAGAGTATCATCCTAGAAATCTAAAAAAAATCCCTTTAAGAAGTAAAAGCTTTTTAGTGAAGTCTTCTCCAATCTGGTGACCTTATAACTCCGTTGGACATCTCTCATCATCATCAGTTTGCCTTCAGATATTCAACTGGTGACGCTTGAAGAACAATACGTTGGAGGTTCAGACGAATGTCTGAACATCCTGAATAGTCTTCCTAAACAATTCTATTAAGCTGATTACCAACAAAATCTCAACCCTTTTGACAAACAGGACCCTTTTTATACTATAGAGCTCTGGTGACAAAATGTTCATTTAAGATTCCCACATCTTACCTTACCTTACCTTACCTTACCCTACCTCCTTTCCTTTCCTTTCCTTTCCTTTCCTTTCCTTTCTCTTCCCTTCCATTTCCATTTCCTTCTTTTTTCTATGTCACTTTTTTTTTTACTTGAGGGTTTTTCTCCTTTTTTCTTTGTCCATCAAATTTAATGTCCCAGTAAAGGGGGTGTTTGAGAAAAATCTGAATTATCCAAATTGCCAGTGAGTGAATAATTATTAGTTTTACTTTCTTGATTGAAGAGCATTAATCTACTTGGTCATTTCCTATTGTGGAACAGCCTGGATAGTGCTCCATGAAAATTGTTTTCCCTCTCTCCACAAATTGGGGGGAGAAAGATACTGCACTGCCTTCATTCTAGTAGTTCAAAAAAAGTCTTTCTTTCAACTTATTTTCTAACAAGAGCTCTTTGTGAAATAGATGGACGTTATCGAGTCAACCCCAGACTTTCAGCTAGTCTGCCATCAAGTTCTATGCTCTCCAGATTGCTGAACTATATGTCCTATACATCCTGCCCCTTCTTTTCAACAGCCAGAACTTTCCCCCACGGCCAAGTCTAGGAGTGATAAAATCTATCACTATGGACTATTTCTGGGTTCTTGTGTGTGATAAAGAGACCAAGCTGTAATCCTGAAGGATTCCTGGGTCCTTCCCTTATCTCCCCATCCCTTATGAAAATATATGGTTTTTTGGGTTGTTTTTGTTTTTTTTGTCAGTTGAGGCTTTTTCTCTTTTTTGCTTTCTCAATTGAATTCAATGTCCTCCCACATATTTGAACAGGACGTAAGTGGATGAATTGTCTTCTGCAAATTTCAGCTTCTGCTTCAGGTTTCTGCCGTTTCAGTTCCTGAAGCAGAGTCTGAAAAAGTGTTGGCAAATCTATCTATACATTGTTGAGCGGACGCCAGACTTGAAGTGAACAAAGAACTTCAGCTTGCTATGTACTTGCTGGATTTCCCTCTTTTACATAATATTGGGCAATGTAAGAATCTTGTGCCCATTTCCCTTCAACGGGCTGTGAGAGTGGCATGTGTGGAAATGAGGTAGCAGTAAACAGAACCAGCAAGAATTTGGAGGCTGATACAGGCATGGCTGAATGGAAGCTGTTCACTATAGCATCTTTTTCTGCTTCCCCCCCACCCCTAAAATTACAGTTATAGTTATTCATGTTATTTTTTTTACTTTAGCAATTTCTTTTCTAATGCAAAATGGTGTTTATCCCTGGCAGCATTAATCTATAATCACGGGAAGCCATCATTAAGATTTATAATTATGGGATTTAAAATCGCCTTACTACATCCTAAATTTCCAACCGGTTTCACCCTGTTCCTGTGTCTTAAGAACATATCAATCCCCCCAAATCATCAATCAGTAAGTTTCACAGCAAGAAAATAAGTGCGGCCTGGCACACTTCAAGTTGTCATGACATATTCGAGAGCTGAGGCTGATCCATGCAATATCTTCTTACAGATTCTCAGAATTCTACCCATACACATCCAGGAGGCATAGAAAGCAGAAAATAAATTCACAGAACTAGAGGCACACCAATATTTTCTCATTTTAATTTTCTTTTGAATAAAACTTTCCATATATGAAGTAAACAAGAATGACTTACTGGGAACACAAGAACCAGATGACTCCAAGTGAATGTTCCTTTGCCGCTCCCAGAATCTTCACCTTTTTATTTTTTGACACCCATATTTATAAAGGTTCCTCCCAGGCTTGAATTAAGAAAGAAAAGTCCCAGGTTTCCAAACTCACTGAAGTAACTTCCTCTTGTGACACCCTTGAACGCCTATTCACTAGACTGACATGTTCTTAGAGAACTTGTCCAGCTCTAGCCCCGGCCTTCAAGAATGCCTGCAGACTCGCCCTTTGCAATTAGTGCGAGTTTTAAACAAGCCTCAATAAAGATTAAACATTAAACCTAACTTGCCTGGGATGAAGAAGGGGAGAAGCAAAAAAGAGAGAGAAGAAAGTGCTGCTTCAGCCCAACCAATTTTGTTCATGAAGCCGTCAAAGAAACTTATTGATTGAGGTAGGATGTTACACTTACTGAACAGAAAATATATGAAAACTGAAGGGAGGGCAACTCATTGTTATTAAAGGTGTGCTATCTCAAATGTGCTTCTTTGTAATTCAGAGTGCAACTTTCCATTCCCCAACCTCAAGGGTAAACGTGTAGCTTCTGCATATTAATATCTTTTGTGCAGTTGCCTACAGCTTTTTTAATGTCATCGGCATTTTACATAATAGACACAGCTCTGGCATTTGTGTGTGTATGTGTGTGCATGTGTATGTGCGTGCCCTTTCAAATCAGTGTTGACACCTGATGAAAAAAATCCCCGCAGTTTTCTTGGCCAGATTTTGGGAACTGGCTTGCCCTTGCCTCCTTCCTAGGGCTGAGACAGAGTGACAGGCCCAAGGTCATCAGCTGGCTTCATGTCTAAGGTGGGACTAAAACTCACAGTCTTCCCATTTGTAGTTTCAGGCCTGAACCACTAGACCAACAGGGCTTTTAGAGTATGATAAGTATACCATATGTCTCTTAGAGTAAGATAAATCAATAAATCAATAGATCCATACTGTCAGCCATGAAAAGATGGTCAGGTCTAAATTCTGGTCAGTAACGACAGACAATTCTTTGAATTATAGAGGAAATGCTGATTATGAATACCACCTAGCATATAACAGTAAATTGTGGCACTGAATAAAATTGCAAATTTAGCCTACCGGGAAAAACAAATCTTGTGACTTTAGAGAATCATTTTTATTTTTTTTAATGTAGATTTAAAAATGTATTTGATAGTTGATTAATATGTGATATTTTCTGCCTTTTTTCCACTAGTTGTATTTTCTTGATATTTTCCTGAATACTTTCGTATTTTGTATTCTTTTTTTTATTTCTTTCTCCGAAATTTGTTAAGATAAATAAAATACCTATTTATTTATTTATTTATTTATTTATTTATTTATTTATTTATTTATTTATTTATTTATTTATTTATTTATTTATTTATCCATCCAATCTATAGGGCCATCCCTCTCAACCAGTGACTATGGGTGGTGAACAGAAATAAAATAACATAAAAAACAATTATAAATGTTATAGAAGTTAAAGCACAAGCAGTCGAGAAACAATAAATCAGATTACTAATACCACCAAGAAACAGGTCCCTAAACATGTTCAGGGCCCAGAGCCAGATTTTTAGGACCTTACAAAAAACCAGAGAGCTGGGGCCAACTTAATCTCTGGAGGAAGAATGTTCCATCATAACGTTCCATAATAATAACAATACATCTAATGTGATAAAGTTTAGGAAAACCATAAAATACAATGAAAGTATAACACTTAAAATCGACTTGCAAAAGGTTTGCCTTAGGTAATTATATATATAGATTTGTAGCTGTTTACTGTAATAACATGACATTTTGTTTTTTCCTGTAGTATGTTTTCACTTATTTTTGAACACTTGCATGTTTTTGTGTTTTGTACCTTTTGTTTTTGTTTTCTGTTATTACTTTAAAAATTAATAAAAAAATATTTTAAAAAACACATAAAATCATAAAAATGGAAAACCCTAAAATTCAACTAAATAAACCTTGGCTGTAATAATGGACACAAAACACCGGTAGGCTCTTGTGAGTGAAAGAAAGCTGGGTGATCCATCCAACGATAGGGCATGTTGAAACATATAAAATGAAGTTAACATTAGGGAAGGTTGTAGGAAAATAGGAAAAGAAAAAAGAAGAAGCAAAGCATAAAAAAGAGAGGGGAATCAAATCCATAACTGGAAAGGACAAGTGAACCATTTGTTTCTCCTCAAAAGTGAGAAACGGGGTGAATAAACTTCTCCCGAAGTACACATCCTGTTTTTCTGTTCTTCAAGCAGCAACAGTAAACAAGCAACTAAGGCAGTGAGATTGGGGTTAATATGGAGGATTGGGGCTAATAAAGTGTTTGAGCTGCTCCATGAGAATGGTACAGTTTCACAGAACGGTAGAACTGGAGAATCTGGTCCAGCCTCCTGCTCAAAGCAAGAGTCCTTATACCAGGAGTAGGCAACCTTGGCTCTTTTATGACTCGTGGACTTCAACTCCCAGAATTCCTGAGCCAGCACTGGGTCAGCTTGGAAACCTGTCCCTTTCCCCTCAGCATGGCTGGCTCAGGAATTCTGGGAGTTGAAGTCCATGAGTCATAAAAGAGCCAAGGTTGCCTATCCTTGCTTATATCATCCCGGTAAAATAGTTGTCCAACCTTTTCTTGAAAAGCTCCAGAGAGCTTCCAGTTCACATATATATCAAGAAGTTTTCCTTCTTTGGAAACATGGTCTGAAAGTACCAAATATATTCAGATGTGAAGTCATGACCTTTCCAGTCTGAGCAGATGGGGGAAAATGCACCTCCTGTGAACTTCTCCCAACCTCTACCACAAGGGTGAGATCTCCTGAAAGAAAGCATGAAGATCTTGGAAAAGCCAGGGGAAAACAAGGTACAACGAGAGAAAGCCATCCACATCTGAGAGAGACAAGGGCAGAATTTCTGGGAATTGATCAATGGCCCTCAGCTAGGGCTCCATCACATTTCACAGCTGTGAGGGCAAGGGTGTGCTTCTGTAATGGCCACAAAGAGGTGGTGCTGATATGTGCAGTTGGGAGGAGAAAACATTCAGGAAACAACCTGAGTGGCTTGTGGCTAGAAAGCCAAGGAAGAGCAAGATGCAGGTAATCTTCGACAATTCATATAGTGACCAAAGTTATAACGGCACTGAAATAAGTGACTTATGACCAGTGGTGGGATTCAGCCAGTTTGCACCACTTCAGCAGAACCGGTAGCTAATTTTTTTGTTACCCAGACCCAGAATGGACTTCCAGAAACGGCAACCACACAGAGAACTAGTTGTTCACATATTTGAATCCCACCACTGCTTACGACCGTTTTTCACACTTATGACCATCGCAGCATCCCCATGGTCACATGATCAAAATTCAGACACCTGGCAACTGACTCACATTTATGATGGCTGGGGTCATGTGATCATCTTTTGTGACCTTCTGACAACCAAAGTCAATACTGGAAGCCAGATTTACTTATCAACCTGTGTTACTCAATCACAACAGCAGTGATTCATTTAACAAATGTCTCAAGAAAGGTGGTAAATGAGGCAGAGTTCACTTAACAAATGTCTTACTTAGCAACAGAAATGTTGGGCTCAGTTGTGGTTGTAAGTCGAGGACTACCTGTGATATGCAGGTTCTGAGGTTTTGCTTGATAAAAAATACAGGAAACCAGAAGTTGCCTTCAAGAGTTACCATGTTCATTCAGCTGAACAAAGACAGGCCTCTCTAAAAAGAGAAAAGCCCCAAATATCGAAAAAGCCTTATTTTTATACCTACTTTGATTACATAAGCAATTCCGCCAGTAAAGCTGACACACAATAAGATAAAGACTTCACCTTTTAAGGCTGGCACACTGTAGACAAAAAGGAAGAAAGCAGAAGTAGCTAAAATGTTCCCTTTTGGATGGTTTGGGTGTTTCCCCAAGGCACCATATGTTCCCGGGTGGGTTAGACTATTGGGTGTTTCCTTTGCTGTCCTTTCATGACCTTGCATTCATGGTTCTGCAAGTGGCCAGAGAGAGCGGGGCCATCTGCACATATTCACAATTGCTACTGTCCCCTAAGTCCGAGTCAACACCTGTATTGACCAAAACCTGTTAACTTCCCATCAGGCAGTGGGTTGGCCATTGTAGGAAGGAAGAGGATGCTCTCTACAGTGTCTTACTCTGTTCTAGCTGGGCTTTTTTTTTTTTTTAACCTTCTGGTGTACGGTGCAAAAGTATCTCCTTCCTTCTCAAAACATTGTGCAAAATGTTGCCACTTGTCATAAGAGAAGCCATTTTGTAGGCACCTAGACTAATCAGAGAAGACTAAAGTACATTTCCAAAGGTCTGATTTAATAGCAAATGGCGGACATTTGAAACAACAAGTTCTGTTTCCAGGAGGTTCTGCATCCGAAGACTGTCAGGTATGTCTTAGAAGCATTAGAATTAGGGCTGGAAAGGAACCTCAAAGGTTTTCTAGTCCAACCCCCTACTCAAGGCAGGAGTCGTATAGCATCCCAGTCAAATGGAACACAAAAAATAAGTTTTCTTTTCGTACATGGCAATACCTGCAACTCTGCGGTTTTTCCAGGCAAACCTAGTTATGTGAGATACTGTTTGGATAGTATTTGTTTCTCTTTTCTTTAAATATGGCATCAAAGATCACAGATAATGATTGCAAGCTCCCGCGACATGGACTGGAAAACCGTGCCCTGTTCCGAAGCTGTTGGATCACATCTTCTGCTCTTGGCTATGCTATGTATGGGAGTTTGAGCCTAACAACATGTGAAGAGCAACATGCTTTCCTACCTTTGCCTGCAGTCTGATGAAGCCTCAGAAGTATGTAGAAAACAATTGGAGCTGCTTAGCAACCTTCCAAACTAAGATCCAAACTGAAAATGTTGTCTCATCTCATTAGACCTGGCACTATCCCATGGCCTGTGGTTTTGGGGTAAGATAAGGCCTTTTGGCTGGTGTTTTGTTTATCTTGCACATCTTGGAATGTTTACATGATTCTTCCTTTCTTTCTTTCTGGTGCACACAAAAACTGT